TGCCATTGAAATATTTTATTTAATTGCAAATAAAATAACTATGCTGATTAACTATGTATCCTGCATTCATGCACTGTTTTATTCTAAGTATCTATTAGTGTGCAGTTTTCTCCAAATCATCGCTTTAAATTTCATATGGTAAGTAAGATCAGCTAGAGATCAAGTAACCTGGTTCTCAAACAGCAATAAAGCAGCCCTTAACACAGTTCCTGTAATCACCCCTTGCATGCCGTAATCACTCTTTCCTCAAGGTCCAGAGCAGCGCTTGGGCCTGTTCCAGGTAAAGCCCAATGCAGATGCTCTGGGCAGAGCCTGCGTCTCTCTGCTGACTACATAAGGAGAATTAGGAAGCTAAGCAGCTAGTTGCTTAAAACTCTGTAATGCTTGTAAAGCTTGTAGATTAGAAGGTGAAACTAGACAGATGTAGACTGCATGACTCATCCTACCCTGAATAAAAAACTAAGCTATATGTAGCTGTTAGAAAACAGGACTCTTGTTATAGTTTTATGATTGATACAGCCACTCACAGAGACAATCTAACTCAGCTTCAGGCAGGTAACATAGAAGACAGTTCCTTTCCCTAAATGCGTGCAGTATAGAAGACAGGAAGCAGATAGAAAGCAGTAAACACTTAAAGCAGACAAATGTAATTGGGAATTTGGGAGCACAGAATAAGAAAAATTAAATAATCTTATTTTACCATAAAATGAAAATGTCTCCACTTATCTAAATTATGTCAGATGGAAACACTATATGATGGCAAATTCCATAGCTCACAAACAGAGCAGCCATAATAGCATATATGGAGCCAAACAATGATCATGTATAAAAAATGTAACAATTCAGTGATCAGTAATAAATAGGTCATAATTCAGTTATAACTTTGATAAATTTTAAGTCTGATAGGTCTACACACCCATCCATTTCACCATGGAGTTAAAAAATACTTACACTTATTTATGATTACATTGTAGATGCTTATTTTTAATTTCCACATTATTTAGGTGTGTCATACTGTGATCATAAATACAGGAAACAAAATGGCTTTGTTTGCTTTTTCTTCAAAGGGCCAAGTGGACAGCCTTGTAACTTGAGTAAGTTATACTTAAAGTTAAAATATACACTAGGCTTTATTTAGCAGGGCTCATGGATCAACACTTACAGAATCCCTTGCATGCACAGAGCATGTATGTTAATCTATTCATCCAGCACACATACAAGAAACCTCCACAGTTCAGAGATCAAGAATTCATTTTATCTTCTCTGAGTTGACTGTTGTGCAAAAATATCAAAATCTCATCAAGAGAAGGATCTGGCCAGTAAGGGCACAAAGCTGGTTGAGAATCAAAGATCTGCAGGCAGCAGGAGTTATGATGTCATACAGCCCAGCAGCAAAATGTCTGGTTTATGGTGGCCAAGCTTCATTGCAGGATCAGTAAAAGCGGATAGGCAGCAAAAACCTCCTGTGAGGCAGGAAATTGGACAGGTAGTCCAGCAGAAGTGAAAGCTTGTCTTGGAACAGACCAAGGGCCCTGAATTCAGGCTTGTCAGTGCTCCAGAAGCAGCCAGAAGTGCTGAGGCAAAACCCACCATGTTGGCTCTACAATCAGCCTCCTTTCCACGTCTTGCACAACTACTTTCCTTGGAGATTTCTGGAAGTGCTGTGTATCTCCTGTTTCTATTGAAATCCCTGCTTAATTTAAAAGCATTGCTGTGACACCTCAAATCCCTTTAAGTTTGATGGCTTTGTGTTCCTGAGAAAAAGAGACAGGGAAGGGAAAAGGGAAATGGGAAGTGGACACAAGGAGAAGAAAGTAACCCAGGTATAGATCATGTAGCATTTGGCAATTGTACATTAAAAAATAATTAATTATCACAAAATTAATATTTTAAAGAAAATTACATCTTCTGATTTAAACCAGCCAGAAGCCAGGAAATTCAAGCTTAAGAATGTCACCCATTTGAAGTAATTTTATTCTAGCTTGTTTTATCAGTATACTTCCCAGAAGCAAACTGTAAATTATATATTTCATGATCTCTCAAGGAGTCCTGCCAAGACCTGGTGATAAGTTGCTATAACAGCAGCTCAGGGTTTGAGAAATGCATTTAGCACTCATGGCAACAGGTGACCAAGTGGTAATGACACCATTAACACATTTCACCTTTTTAAGGTCTCCCACTGGTGTTTCACTTCTACTAATTTATGGAGGAATCATTTCATTTCAGTGTTACAAGTCCCTTGTGTTCTTAGTGGTATTTTAAAGAAAATAAACAGAAGGAGGAAAGGAGAGCATCCTCTGGGATATGTGATTTTGGAGAAAACCACCATCAGCAAATTCTGCCTTGCAAGATAAAGAACTTGGTAATTTTTATAGTAGATCAAATAAGATTGAGATCAACTGAATTCAGTTCTCCTTTCAGGAATCAGCAATATCTTCTTTGTAATAAGCAGGTATTAGGTACTTGCCACATATGATTCTCCAGACAGATATGTTTGCATTTGTTATGCAAATGTAGGTATGTATTTAAAAAAAAAAAAAAAGCAGTAATGTCTCAATTCATTATTTGACTGAGTCCTTATGGACTCCCCACTCTAGATACACTTGCAAAACGATCTTTTGTTATGGCTGTAGCTATGATTCTATGTCCTTCTCTATGTAGCATTCTGGCTACTGTACTGATTTTACAGAAAATATTATACAATTAGTTGTTTACTTCTTTTCAAAAGCTGTCTTTCCTTCAACTTGCAATTCTTTTCATCATGTAACTATAAAAGAAATCTTCTAGTTAACAACTGTAACTTTATTAATATCCTACAACTGAGATTTTTTTTTACCACAAATATTTGACCTTGACAATTTACTCCCTACAGCAACAATATGAAAACAAACCTATAAACTCCTTAACTCCTTATTAAAAAAAAAAGACAGTACCAAATACCACTAGTACACCACAGAGAAACATGCAGTCCAGTATATTGGGAGCATTATGGCACCAGATCCTGCCTTCATGGACATCAGTTGGACGTTTATCACTGAATTCCAAAGAATCAGACCAAATCTCCCACTTATACAGTGAGATATAGAGGCTTTCAGATGGGATTTGTGTTGAATATCCAAACAAATCTGAATATTTGACGCCTTTATTATACTCTAAATGCTTGGTTACCATAAGAGAAGACAGAACTGCCTTGTCTCAAGAAGAGAAGGAAGTAATTGAAGTAATTGCTGTCTTCAACTCCCTACTAAGAGGTTACAGACAAGGTGCAACCAGACTCTTCCAGGAGGTTAAACACAAAAAGACAGGAGGCAATGGACAAGGATTGCAACAAGAAAAATTCCAGATAGTACAAAAATTTGTATCAGTCATGGTAGGCGAAAAACGTGCTGCCCAAAGAGGCTGTGGAATCTCAATTCTTTAAGATATTGAAGCCTTGGTTTTATGACCCTGAGCAACCTGATCTGACCCAGAGTTCACTCTGAGTGGAGGATTTGTACCAAAGTCCTCCATGAGAATGAAAGGGAAGAAGGGAAAGGGGAAGGGGAATGGGAAGGGACTTTCCTTCTTCAAGAATACTCATTTGACGCATACCTTATTTGAAAATAGTACAACAGGAGTTCAACATAAATTGCTAAAAAAAGGGGGTGAAAATTGTTTTAGCTAGTAAAATTAAATGTACGCTGTAACTGTTCACACCAGTTGTCTCTGTCTACTGTTTTATCACTGTAGCTGGAAAGTGGAAGAAGCATGTCAAGGGAGTCAAAACAAAGATTCTATATATGGAACAACTGTGGTTGGGTCTGAATTTAGATCTTAACTCTATTCAGGCCAGTTCTTCAAATGCTTGTGTAGGCTAGCTGAATCCAGTGTTATGCCTATTGAAGAGCTGGATTTACTGCACTGATCTATGTACAGTTCTTGGTGGTCATGGTACATGGTACATGGTACATGCCTGGGGCCCAAAAGCATGCAGGTTATGAGTGCATCAGCAATCCATAGGGATAGCCAAACATATGGCACATCCATTAAGTGGGGGCTGTTTTGCCCCCATGCTGCTCTTCCTGTTACCTCATAGGAAATACAGGAATTCTGTACCTCCATCACCAGACAAGCTATTTCTTCTGTGGCTCAAGCAGGGGCAGATGTGACAGGTGAGCTTCTTGCAAGTGGATCCAGAAAGTACTTACTGGCCATTTGGTCTTAATTACTATCTTCTTTTTTTTTCAGATTCAGTGTGAGGAAAAACAACATCAAAAATACCTGTAGAGACTAGAAAATAGAACAACTGGTCTCACAGTCTTTACTACAATGACCAAACAGATTTCAGAGTTGAGCGTCTTATTCCTGTCACACCAAATGCCAGCTCTCAAGACAACCAAGTTCCATCTTCATCTGATGCAGGCTTCATGGCTCTGCATCTTCCCTAGTATTTTCAGTTTTACTAACGTAGTAACAAACGGGACCTTCAGCTACAAACAAAAACATTAATTCTCCAGAGCAACGATGGATAGCTTTGAGGCTTTCCTAATGCAAAGAACTGCAGCCAAGTTAAGATCTTTGTTTACTAGATGTATTTAATTTTCTACGCCTTGGCAAGTCTACCTCCATCATTTACTTCACCTGTGTGCCACAGAGGCCAGTCCCTTAACAGAAGTTTGCTAGTCATGTTTCTGATCCCTCACAACTCTCTGGGTACAGTAGATATTTGAGGAGTCTTTGCAAGACACAGGAGTTATTCCATTAAGTGTGGTACATCTGTTCCTCTGTGATGATCCTGACCAACACAAGTATGAAATAACAGGAACATAGTTCTTACTACAAAAATTATTATTTAACCAGAAATGGAAATGTCCTGTCCAGCTGACCTTTGTAGTGTCACCTACAGTCTGAGAGTGCCAAGTGCCAAGACTTAAGTGCCAAGGGTATGGGACCATGGTTTTTACATTTCATCAATATTGCAGTTAAAGATTTTATTTAAAAGAAAAATAGTAAATGGCACATCATGTAATTGCTATTTATTTTCATAAACATGAGGTATTTCAAAGTGCTATAAGACGCAGCACTAAATGTACATCATTGGAAGAAATTAAACACAGAACTTTGCCGTTACCCAGTTCTATGCACCAAACATTAACAAATACATTAACTGGAAGAAACAGGCTAGGAAAAGGCATATATAGTAAATTTCTTTACAAAAGTTTCTTAGTTCAAAAAAGTGATAAAGTAATATCTACTCAAAACTTTCACAACTCATTTTCATACGAAAATATAAGTATCAAATTTAGTTATGTATCAGCATCATACTAAAGTATACAGGCAATGTAAGAATTAGTACAGTACATAACAGAGATTAACAATATATTTGTATACAAAAACATGCTCCTCAAACATTGAGGTATTACAGTACTTAGGTATGAACTTCCAGTCTAACACTGGCAGCAAAAGCCACCTCTCATAACCCAAGACATGTACAAAAGGCAAGTGTGTAGATGGTATTTACAGAAATTCCCACAGGGGTACAAAATGCTAACCCCTAAAGTAACATCTGTTAGAACATAAGCACCATAAAACTTAGGAATGAACATTTAAAAACTCAACTAGATGTCATCAGCAGCTCCAAATGCTCACAACACTTAAAAAAAAAAAAAATCCCCACCATCTACAGTTCTTTAGAAAAAACAAAGGCAGTCCATTGTTGTTTGGTAGTCTTGCAATAAACTCCTTGCAAGAAAATCCATTTGCTCCGTACCCGGATAATATAGTCTGTCAATTACTTCAGGAACTGGATTGAAATTAAAACCAACATTCTTAACGTCAAAAAACACAACTTTTTTATAAAGAATCAAAAATGTGCAAAGTGGCAATGACTGTCCTGATCAGCCAGAAAAAAACACCAAAACAAAAAAAAAAAAAGTTTAGCAAATCCGCTTGTAATCTATTTTCTTTAGTAATTGTTCTTGTCTGGCTTGCAATTTTTCCTTTTCTAGCAGTAACTTCTGCTCCTCTGCCTGAAGAGAATGAACATATTCAGTGGCTTTTTTCAAGATCACAACTTTTGCAGCTTTCTCATTTTGAACCAGTTCTGGAACATGGTCCCTTAATGTGAGGAAACTTGACCGTAGATCATTACGTCGTTGACGCTCCAGGATATTATGGTTGCGTCGACGTTCACTGTCCTCTGAATCAGAGTTTCGAGGACTTGAACTCTTAAGCTTTGGTTGGATCGTGGGTTTTACTGGACGGGGCACCTCGATTTTTAACTTTTTCTGCGGTGGAGACTCTTCAGTCTCCACAAATGGAGAAGGAGCGGCATAATTATGCTGCTGGTGAATTGGGGCACAACGCTTTAATATCAGTCCATTCTGCTGTGTCCTGACTGATGAAAAAGTGGTATTTTTAGGACGCACTGTAATAGTAAGGGTGGTAACAGACTTGTTGGTAGAGGACCGTCTTTTCTCCACTGTAACAACATCTATTTCTTCTTCTTCATCCTCTTCCTCCTCATCTTCATCATCTTCTGGTAATAAGGGACAGAAAATAAAACAGGCATTATTATCCCTGAAAACACCTTGATTACAAGTATCAGTATTTACTGACAAAATATATATCCAGTAAAAGCAATAATTAAATAACTGATGGGAAAACTAGGATGCACCCACCACTGCAATCAGATACAGATCTGTAAAAGTACGTAATACACGTGAAATTAGCAAAGCACAGGGATTTCTGAAAGCTTGGTAAGTTTGATGAGATGGGGTTTTTTAAACACATCTAATTTTCAGTCACAATGGGGCTACCACCCACACAATCACAAAGGCAGAAAAGTATTTTTAGACAGAATGTATGCAGTTTGAATGGAATCGTCGAGTTGTGGCACAAAAGGCAAGCACAGAGCCACAACACAGCCCCTGCTTGGTAGAAAAGCAGCCGGAAAACGAAACAATCGCTGGGTTTGTTCTGAGGCAGAAGGTGAAGCTGCTCCAGCCGGGGACCCTTTAAGCCGGCGCTTGGTGCACTGCCAAGAAGACAGCTGTTGGAAGTGCTTCCTCACCCAAAGCTGTCAAACCAGACATTAAAGGGACAGCAGCCTCTGAAACCCGGGACGGATCACCAAGTTTGTGGCGGTGGTCATAGGGACCAGCTCATCCACACACGCCAAATCGCGGTTCAGCCCAAATGGACTTCTCTTCGTACGCACACAGAGAGGATGTTTGGGGCATTTTGGGCTCCGTCAAGACAAGAGCCGCTCTGAAGGTTCACGAGCCCAGCTCCAGCCTGCCCGCACGGCGCCTAAGGGAACGCGCACACGGTCATCCCCCATAAATCTGTGCCCAGGGTGGCGCTGGCAGCTGCACCCGAGCGGTGGCCGCCCCCCGAGCCCCCCGGGGGCAGGAGACTGTCAGGGCGCCGGAGGGTCCCCAGCACCGCGCAGCCGCTCCGGGCTGGAGCTGCAGCCCGGCGAAGGCTCCGAGCGCGGCGCAGCGGCACAGGGCAGGGGCGGGCGGGGGCTGCCCGGGCCGCGCCCGCCGCCCCGCGCCTGCTGCCGCCTGCCGGCCGCCCCGGCCCCGCCCGCCCCCTGCGCAGCCCGCGGGGGGCCGCGGCCGCCAGCCCCGTCCCCACCCCGCGCCGTGGGGCCGGAGCGCTTACCCGAGTCGCTGAGCATGTCGTCCCCGGAGGTGCTGCTGCTGCTGCTGCTCGCCCGGCTGTCCCCGGCGGGGCGCGGCGGGCGGCCGCCCCGCGCTGCCCCTCCGCCCGCCGCCGGCGCCTCCCGCTTGTTGACGGGGAAGGGGAAGACCACGGCCGGGTCCACGCACTCGGGCACGGCGCCGCCCAGCTCCGCGCGGCCGCCGGCGGGGCTGCCCGCGGCCCCCGGCGGCGCGGCGGGCGCCTTGCTCTGCAGCTTCTCGCTGACCGCCCGCTCCAGCTTCTCGCGCGCGGAGAAGCCGCTCCACATGCAGTCCTGGATGATGATGGAGTTGAGATTGCTCGTCACGCCGGAGCCCGTCTCGAAGAAGTCCCCTCCGTCCACGCCGTCCCAGAGGTCGGCCTCGGGCGGCAGCAGGAGCAGCTCCGATGCCCAGTCCACGGGGTCGGTGGGGCGGCAGCCCCACAGAGCCGCTGCTCCCCACGGCACCGGGCCCTCCCCCGGAGGGTGCTCCTGGAGCCCGGCCCGGCTGGGAGACAGAGGAGGGGTGGGCAGCAGCTCAAACTTTTTCCAGATGTCCTCGCCCGGGGGAGCGGAGTCCGGCCCGCACAAATAAAAGTCATCTTCGTCCGGGTAGAAACAAGGCTGCAGGGAGTCAAACTCGAGGTCTGGGTTTTTACTGACCATTCCTGGCATTATGGGTCTCTTTTTGCTGATCCCTGGGTCAAGCAATAGTTTCAAACACAAGTTTTATCGGTATTTCCACCAAGGGGAAGAAGAGAGGTTCTCCCACTACCTGAAACTAAAACAAAAAAAAGAAAAAAAAAAA